ATTATTATTATTATTGTTGTTGTTGTTGTCGTTGTTGTTGTTGTTGTCGTCGTCGTCGTCGTTGTTGTTGTTGTTGTTATTATTATGATTTATTATTATTTATTATTATTATTATTATTATTATTATTATTGGGCTATGTAAATTATATTTGAACATAAATATTTAGGTGTATGGATATACGAAAAACTGTCATGAAATGACAACAGCGCTAAAATTTATGGCAAACCAACGAATGTACTTTTAAAGAAAATTAAGGAACTTTAAGATTGGTAAAGATGCATTGTTTCAATTTCACCAGTCTTTGATACAGTCTACAGTAAGCTTTTGTTGTATTGTATGGCTAAATAGTTTACCTAAAAATAATGCAATTACAGAGGATTATGTCTAAGAAGGTAATAGGCGCAGACGTTCCGTCTATTTCTGATATCTGTGATAAGGCTATAGAGAAAAAACCTAAAATGTCTAATAAGTCCCATCCTCCATTTAACCATTTTAAGTTAAGTAAACCCAGAAGAATTATTTTATCAATTCAGAAAAATGAGCGTCATAACAAATCATTTCTCCGTGTGCAATTCAGGCAATACAATAGGTACCGTAATTTAAAAGATAACTTGAGACATTTTGTATTTTATTCTAGTAATTATATTGTATTTTTATATCTCTATTCGATCACAGTGCAATTAATTTTGCAATGTTATATCTGTTTTTATATTTATACTGATTTACATTATTTTACGTATAGGCCTAACTTTGTTTTTTATATCGTATCCATTTTTATAGTATTTTAGTATGCCACTGTTTTAATTGTGAACCTTAGAAAACAAATTTCATTAACTTTGTTGACAATAAACTTGAACTTAAATTGTGTGTTATAATTTTCATAATCAACGAGATATTGATGGGTATCATGATTGTTTTAATATAACTCTAATATATATGTTTTCTGAAAATTGGAATTTGAAGGATAATTGTTGATTTTGGGTGGCAAATTTCATTGGTTGTTTAAGGATTAGTTGGGTACTAGTTAAGGTTTTCTGTTTCATTTTGTCTTTTTTATTTGTTTTGCTGCAAGGAATACAATGAATATATCCTTATATTATGCTTTATCTTTATGCCAGAAAGGGATCCAAACGTTGAATGCCCTGCTGGATATTATGGCCCACAATGCACCAAAATATGTCATTGTCAGATCTCGTCGAAGTGTGATCGAAATAATGGAAGTTGCCCTAATGGTGATGTTTGTGAAGGAGGATGGGCTGGGGCAGGCTGCCAACAACGTAAGACAGTCAAGGAAATCAATCAATTTTTTTAAAGCCGTTTATTGAAATGACACTAGCATTAATTTACAGGGAGAATTGTTAGGAACAATTCCTGTTCGATTTTCCCCCTATTATTTACATAAGCCTATTTTTTTTAAATATATCTTCTGAATATAGTTCTCCTGGCACTGAGTGATGCTCCCCTGGTCGTAGCATTTGCAAATAATGTCAACATCCGTTGGTCAACTTGGAGTCTGGACAATGATTATGGCCGGGGTACTGTCGATAGTTACCAACTTGAATATTGGCCAACTAATGATGTCAGCGATTTAGTTGTTCTAAATATTACAATAGGAACAGAAATGAACATATCGTGGTCACAGATGAACTATAACACAGAATATAGTTTCACAGTAAAAGTCATTACTGAAGTTGAAGGTGTATTAGTTTCTGGAAAAGCCAGTCCATTGGCTGAGATATGTAAGTAGTTAATACCATCCTGTAATAACATTGTTAGATCCCGTTAATAATGCTTTAAGAAACTAATTCCTCCATGCTTTAAGCAAGTATTTCCAAGTTTCGAGAGCGCTGTTTAAACATAAAAGCTGAGCCGTGATTCTAAAAATGCATGAAGGCTTGCGGGGAAATGACTGAAGTCATTTCAGTGGCGTCACGGAGTTTGTGGGGCCCTGGCGCTGACTCTCATTAGAGGCCCTAATAAGTGAGCGAAGAGCGTTAAGTTTTCGAGCGGAGCGAGCAAACAGGCGCAGGGGGAAATGGGATGCATAAGGCCCCCGGACGGAGTCCCGGGGGTGAAGGCCATTTATGAACTGTTAACTGAGTTAACAGAGAACATACAATGGTCCATGACTGATGAAATATTTCAGACAATTTTATGACCAAACCAACATAGTTTACATAGGCCAACTTTCGGAACTGGTATAGGCCTACCAGTAGTATAGGCCTACATAGAGTATGTACTCTATGTAGGTGTAAATAATAAAGAGAATATTTTAGTGAGAAACAAAACATGTTTCATAACGTATATACAGTGCAAATCAGATTGATCACAAAATCAGAAACAAATGTCAAACATCAGAACCCAGCTTTTAGTTTTTAAAACTGTCGGAGCCCCATATAATAAATCTTTGGTATTATAGTTTATATTATTTTTTTTAAACTACAGTGTCGCTGCCCCTCGTGACTCGGGGCCTTCGTGCTCCGCCTCCTCCCCACTCAC